CTGTTCTCATCTATCCGTATGTATTATATCTCTTTTAAAACTTACATTCGTGTTCACACAAGCTTACCCAACTACATTTGAATTATACTGATACTTTATAATAGTTTCAGTCATAGCAGGACAAATGGATAATGAGCATTATATATAGAAGAATTTGTGCTCTAACTGTGTATCTTATTTTTAAGGTACCCTAGACTAGAAGCCACACCAAGCCTAAGTGAAACATGATAAACTGCCTTTTAAAGCAAAAACTTGATGTTATTTTTGATTTTCCCTTGCACCCAAATTACTTCCTTGCTTCATTGATAACTAGTGATGTTTTGTCATGAATTGTGTGTCTTGTTTGTTTGTTTGTTTATTCTCCAGGACAGTGATTACTGTTTATCATCATACCATTTAGCTATTTCTCAGATACATGTGTCTGATTTCCCACTATTCATAGATCTTGCCTCTTGACTTAACTCTAAAGATAATGGAGCCAAAATGAATGATGCTTTGGCTTGTGGAACTGATCCAGAATATCCCAGGAATATTCTGCAATCTAGGATATATTAGTTCAGGCACATATAATGGGGTTCAATCTGTAGTGCAAGAGCTATCAATGGTCATGAGATCTAACATTAAATATACCATAGTAGGGCAGCCACAGTACCTCGTAATCCTACTCAACCAATAGACCCCTTCTTATTGTACATTCCTCACCAACTTGACATCTCAACACAAATAATTTATATTTGAGACACAATTTTTGAGTCAGTTCTGTGGAGAATATATCTAACAATCCATTGTTCTTTTTTCTTTTTTCTTTTTTTTTTATCAAACCCTGAAGGAACAGGAATGTTCCTGAGGCCTGCATTATCCACATTGGCTCACCAGCTTTCCTTTTATCAGTCATGTCTTGTGCCCAGATCTGCTTGCATCAAATCCAAACCCATATCTGTTGAATTATTTAAATTATCTTTTCAATTATTTTCTTACATTATTTTCTTTATATTATATCCCATTATCACTATTTTCCATGCCTATAACTCTTCTAACAATGTCTATCTATTAACTTTTAAAGTAGAATGACTGAAATTACCAATAGGGAAGAAGCATACCATTTGTAAATAAATAAATTGCTTTTGAAATTATGTGATCTAATGTATATAGTTAGTGGACATTTCTCTAGTCTTTACGACTTTTTAAGCACACCAACTAAGAACTCTACAATGAAATTTGCTATGATAGTTATTTGAGTATTACAATGACTACAGAAGAGAATTGATAAAACTTTAAAATCAGATATCCACAATGCATACTTTTATGGTTTCCTTGCCCACAATAGCAGAGCTTGGGTTTTCAACTTTCCTGTACAATTTGACATTTGCTCTGATTTTTTTTTTGTCCTGTAAGATTTTACTCAATAACTGAAACCTCAAATTTCTTAAAGAACAATTTGTAACAGCAAATAATATTTGTATGAAAAGCCAAACTTGCTGCAGAAAAGAAATGAGCAAAGAGATGCTGAGTCTATTGACATTTAGCATCCACTCTCAGGTGTGAGTAACTTTTCAGGTTACTGAATAAATGTTCCTAGGTAATGAAGGTGCAGCTTCAGCTCAATAGCTATCCTTCTGTGCAGTAATTGAAATTGTATGAATATTGATCAACCACCTATTTAGAAAATAATGTGCAATAATTTTTAGGATTACAAAAGAAGAAATTTGCAGTGAGATTGTGGTAACTGAGTGTAAATGGTAGCATAGGACTAATGTATCCTGTTTTTATTTACAAGTAAAGTAGGAGGTGAAAAGTTTTTTGCATACACAGTGTGTTTTCCTAACCTGGTTAACTCTGGGTCCTGAGGATATCTGACCTATAAAATATATCCCATCAGGTTATTTAAAACTGACAAATATAATATGTTAGTGAGTCCACAATTATTCTCATAGATCTAGAAGCAGAAATGAATATATCTAGGATTCGATTTACCAAATTTTGGTGATTGACATACATTTTACTTTTAGGAATAAACTCTCTCTATATCACTTTTCTTATTTATTTACAATTTAAATCAAACAACATTTTATTTTAAATTTGTTTCATGAGGAAATTTTTGCCATTTTGATGAATGGAAAACCAACAACCCCGAGCCATGATGAGGAGGGGACTATAAGTCAAATTGAATGGACACAAAACAACATTACAAAATGTTAACAAAATAATTATGCTTAACAAAGTATCTTAAAGTATCTCTCAGTTTGTTGCAAGGGGTTGGGGGAGTGGGGAGATTTTTTTTGTAACACACTAGTACTAAACTAAGACCCTTCCTTTAAGTAATGGAGACTGAACGATATCTGGAAATTACTTTTGTAACTAAGTCATTTAATATTGTCAAAATTGCCTCCATGGTAGGAGTATCACGTCATAAGATAACATGATAAGATAATGATCCCTTATAATGGCTGCTAGGTTATACAGGATTTTGTTCAGTTGCATATAAAAAAATCCAACTCTGATTTAATATTTTTTTTTAACTTAATCAGAGTGCAGGAATGGAACAGATACCTGAGAAAGTCATCAACAACTCAGCTTTCTTCTAATCTTCTAATCCACCACCCTTAATATTACATCCATCCTCCATAGAAGAAGATGAGAAAAAAAGCAAAAAGGCCAAGGGCAGCAAGTCATGCCTTCCTTTTTAATGTCAAAACAAAACATATTCAAAGCTTCTTCTTTAGACAGCCTTCCATTTCCATCTCACAGGTCACATGACTGCCCTTAGTTGCAAGGACTGCTAAACAATTATTTGTCTTGGACACTTGCTTTCTGCACTTGATCTTAGCCAAATGGCCGAGAAGCGATGGACATTTGCTTTCTGAACACAATAAGGATCCTATTTATAATTTATAATCATGAAGGGAACAAAACAGTATCTTGTGCCAACCTCATCAAACACTTCTCCTTAGAATCACAAATTATTATTCTTGATACATCTTGAGATTGAGAGAAATCTATACCAGTTACTATTTGAGATCAGGAATGAATAACTTGGCATCATTAATGGCAGTATATTCCTGTGCCATCTGGAGGATGGATCTACTTTGATGGGAATGCTAGCTAGTAAGAAACCTGAGTTTAATTTGCCCTGGATTTATTATAACCTGGTTTATAGGTTTAGTTCAATAGCTTCTCCCTCTCTCTCTCCTCCATTTCCCTTCCTCCTTCCCTACTTTCTTCATTTTTCTGACTGTTTTGTCATCTCTACATCATTATTGAAGTACATAACAACCCTATCTAAAATATATCAATGTTGTTAACAAAAGCGGAATGTATTTTCCCAATCATCTTACTAAATGCCCCTGTTAATGTATGTGTGTATGTATATATGTATATAATAATCTTCCCTGATGCTTTGTGGCTGTTCAAGTAACTGCATTCTGGGTCATCTGCTGACATGAA